TATAATAAGTAGATATTACATATAATTTGGCAGAAAAACTGTGTTTTTACGTTTTATTGGTGCAAAGATGAGTAGTGGTGATATGTATTTTGTACAACATTTGCAACTGCTTTTTATCACTTAATTAGAAGCACCACAAATTAAAATTATGTCATGTTATAGGGACTACTGAACCGACATTTAGAAGTTGATTTTAAAATGTAAAGTAATTAAAATTGAAATTAAAATAATTTTTACAACACTATAAGTGTGTCCCATCAGGTAATGAAAAGTTCGACACACACTTGTGGTCTTCACACCCACTTGAACACTTGGGCCAAATACAGGAAATACGTCATTTAAGTAATCAAGTGGTCAAGTGCAAAGACCGCAAGTGTGGGTATTTGGACAAAGCTTTTACTATCCCGGCTTGAGGCCACGAGAGAGGAATAGCAGTGATGTGACGCAACTGACGCTGGTAGGTCACATGACAATAACGGCATGGCAAATGTAATACGTCCAGATTACATTCATACTATTACACTCATTCATACTAAATAGAACATACTGTTTTTGCGGTTACGAAGTAATTACTTATTAATAATGAGATATTACATATAATTTAGTAGTAAAACAAAGTCTTGCACATTTTATTGCTGCAAAGATGTTTATTTTGTGCAACATTTGCAACTGCTTTTTATCACTTAATTAGAAGTACCATAATTACTCAATTGTGTCATCTGTTATAGAGACTACTGAACAGACGTTTAGAAGTTTATTTTAAATATGCAAAGTATTGAAAATAAAAATAAAGCTTGCATGTTTACAACACAACACTTTTACAATTTCCACTTGAACATATGGGCCAAACAGGCTACAGGAAATACGTCATGGAAGTGGTTAAGTGCAAAGACAGCAAGTGTGCGTATCACTTCGCTTCCTGTCGACCTACTGTCCTATAAAATAAAAAAAAAACCAAGTGTGGGTATTTAGGTCTAAAAATACCAACCACGAGTGCACAGACATCGCGACCAGAGTATGCCATGTTTAACTTATTAAGTGCTCCGGGTGTGTGTTCACGGTGTGTGTGTGTGTGTGTGTGTGTCGACCTACTGTCCTATAAAATAAAAAAAAAATCAAGTGTGGGTATTTAGGTCTAAAAATACCAACCACGAGTGCACAGACATCGCGACCAGAGTATGCCATGTTTAACTTATTAAGTGCTCCGGGTGTGTGTTCACGGTGTGTGTGTGTGTTCACTAATCTGTGTGTGCACTTGGATGTTTTAAATGCAGAGCACAAATTCCGAATATGGGTCACCTCACTTTCATTTGAGAGTAAATCTCAGTCCTTTCATCAGTCCTTAAAATAAGTTTAATAAATATTCTTTTTAATGTAGAATTAACATATATGATATAGCCTATTTAGAAATATAATAAAATGTAATGTAATATAAATGTTAAAAAAAGATTTTAAAAAAACAAAGCAAAACAAGTACGTCACGTGTACCTGTTGTGTTTGCACTGTGAGGTCGGGGGAGCTGTGAGAGAAGTGACGGGATACACTGCCACCTATCGACACATCATCTCCACAGACGCAGGTGATGAAGAGGGGGATTGCTTACACATAAGGACGGGATTCCACCACGTTATCGAGGGATTTCCCAATTGTGTGGTTGCAGATGCCGTCATAAATTTCTTCATGGCTCGCACAGAAAAGATACGACAGGTGGGCTTTGACCCACGTCTGTCTCGGGTTGGCCATTTAGGTAAGAGGACTAATGCACATTTTATTATGCATGTATTGGACATTTGTGTGTGCGTTACTATGTCATTTTTGGTTCTTCTTTAGGATTTTTTATTGATGGGCTTGGCTCCCTCCATGTGGGCTCCTGTGATGATATTATTATCAGTCATGCATCGAAGATCAAGGCGATGTTGCCATGGGGACAGTCTGAGAGTGACAAAGTCTATTCCAAGTTCCGTTATGCTTCCCCTCAAGAGGCCTCTATGAGCGAATATGATCTTTATTATCTCAAAAATCATTTTAAATGTATCACCAGTGACTAAATGTGGAATGTAAAAGCTTCTGCGAAGCACTTTCATTGCAGTCACTCGATAAAGAGACGACGAGCCTTTATAAAACAACGCCAGAAACAATGGATATGAATTGTGGACATTAATTGTGTTGCTTCATCTCGAAAAGAGTTCGGAGGTTAAAGGGTTAGTTCACCCAAAAATGAAAATTAGGCTGTGTTTTACTCACCCCAGAGCCATCCTAGGTGTACATGACTTTTTTCTTTAAGACGAATCCAGTAGGAGTTATATTAAAAATGGTCTTTGATCTGTCTTGAGCTGTTTAATGCCACTCAGCAGGTGTTGCATGCATCAGTCCAAAAGAAGTTAAAAAGCGCCCATCCATTAAAAAACCCGTCTCGCATGGCTCCGGGGGGGTGAACAAAGGCCTCCTATGGCGAATCGATGCGTTTTTGTAAGAAAAATATCCATATTCAAAATGTAATATTCACTTTAATCTAGCTTGTGCTCACTAATTAGAAGTACAAAAGGAGGATTTGTAAAGAAGTATGTCAGAGGATTTTGATATAAGCCAAGAGGAGACTGGTTTTCCTTTGCTAAAGTAAAGAAACTGCTTCCTTTGATCGTGTAAACAAATGTTGGTTTTCACAAGACTCACTGGCGCATGTGCAACTAACCCTTTTGGGTGAACTAACCCTTTAATTGAGGTAATTTTGTGTCTCTGGAAACAATAAGTTTTTTTATATATATATATAATTGTGGAGTAAAAAAAGTTTTGTTTTTGCTTTTTTGAAGAGAGATATCAAAATTTGACTATTGGGGTAGAAAATATATTTTTAAACAATTGTTGAATTTTGTAGCCTACTATGCCAGCTAAAATAACAAGTTAGTATATTTATTTCCCTTAATTAACAAATTGGCTGGTGCATCATCATTATGTACATTATGTGCATCTTACCCTATTAGCTAATAACTACATTTGGCGGCTGTCTCTTGAAAATATTTTGCTGGCAATTTAATGTGGCCATTTCCTTTTCAAGACACAAGATGGCGGAAGATCATCAGAACGTCCACTAAGTTGACAGGAAATTCTACAGTACAGCTGGCACATTTGGGGTTTGTTTTCTATCCCTTATTAATATTTCTCTACTTTTATTTTTAAAAGTATTTTTTTTTGTATAGAAACATATTACACCAGTAAGGGCCAGAAAAAATACATGTTTTCCCTTGTGACAGCTTTCCCCAGTCATTTTTTTCTGTTGAACTACAGTATGATTGTAAATGTGTTGAGTATTTATTCATTATACTGTATATAAACGATCATTAAAATGTATTGTCTCAATAAAAATAATGCCTTACATTTTAAATGTCTTCTTAAAGGAAATAAAAATCAACATCGGATCACATCATCTTTGAATACAATTATTATCTTAAGTCTTTTGTGTAACACCAACATTCAGTGTGGCTGAGACATGGCAGCTGGGCAGTCCTCTGCACCAGTAATATGGGCTGATTTCCATTCAGCCAATTAGTGTAGTATTTCTTGAGCTTTAAAGAGAAAACTCGTGTTCTCCCGAGAGTGATCTTTGAAATACCCCAGGAAAAATGCAGACATCAAACATTAAATAGAACAAATGATTGAATGATGAGTGTGTTTGAACAGTATTTTTTATCAGGTCAAGGTAGTAACAGGTTATAATAAGGTAGTCAGTTCACTTGCAATGTGATAAGTCTTTTGTGTAACCAACATTCAGTGTGGCTGAGACATGGCAGCTGGGCAGTCCTCTGCACCAGTAATATGGGCTGATTTCCATTCAGCCAATTAGTGTGTATTTCTTGAGCTTTAAAGAGAAAACTCGTGTTCTCCCGAGAGTGATCTTTGAAATACCCCAGGAAAAATGCAGACATCAAACATTAAATAGAACAAATGATTGAATGATGAGTGTGTTTGAACAGTATTTTTTATCAGGTCAAGGTAGTAACAGGTTATAATAAGGTAGTCAGTTCACTTGCAATGTGAAATTTTGAAACTTTAACTCTACAAATGAGAACAGTTTATACAATTTTGATCCCAAACTGGTTAAAAAGAGGGAAGCAGGATATAGTAAAATGACATTTTATTTTATACTTTGCCTTTTAAATGATACTGGAAAAAAAAAAGAATTGTCCAGTGAAAGATAAAAAGACAATTATTTATTTGATTGGTCTCTTGGTAATCATTTAACATGTGATGATTACTGATTAGTTTGACAAAAATGTGAATATTGCATAAATAATATACAGCCTATAGCTTATGAAAGGACATTTTAGTATCGTACAGCATTTATGTATACTCTAAAAATAAAGGATGGCAACAATGTATGATCAGAACATCCATTTTCATAAAAAAACCAAAAAAAACAGTCAGCCACTACTGATAAATTGAAAACATTCAGACGTACATAATCAATTAAATAACCATTATCTTCTTTGCCTGCACATGGAGTTTGCAGGGCTAGCAATATCGTTAGCACTGCTGAAAATCATGTTTGTGCATGTAAAAGCCGGTTCACACCAACATAAATGCTCATCACAAATATTCAGTGCGTTTTCAGACCTATTCAGACCAATGCATAAAACACACAGAGGCTGAATAAAAATGCAGTTTCACTCTCTGACAGTAGATGGCACTATAAAAATAAAATGACATTTTATTTTATACTTTGCCTTTTTAAATGATACTGGAAAAAAAAAAGAATTGTCCAGTGAAAGATAAAAAGACAATTATTTATTTGATTGGTCTCTTGGTAATCATTTAACATGTGATGATTACTGATTAGTTTGACAAAAATGTGAATATTGCATAAATAATATATAGCCTATAGCTTATGAAAGGACATTTTAGTATCGTACAGCATTTATGTATACTCTAAAAATAAAGGATGGCAACAATGTATGATCAGAACATCCATTTTCATAAAAAAACCAAAAAAAACAGTCAGCCACTACTGATAAATTGAAAACATTCAGACGTACATAATCAATTAAATAACCATTATCTTCTTTGCCTGCACATGGAGTTTGCAGGGCTAGCAATATCGTTAGCACTGCTGAAAATCATGTTTGTGCATGTAAAAGCCGGTTCACACCAACATAAATGCTCATCACAAATATTCAGTGCGTTTTCAGACCTATTCAGACCAATGCATAAAACACACAGAGGCTGAATAAAAATGCAGTTTCACTCTCTGACAGTAGATGGCACTATAAAAGCTGAAAAAGACTAGTTATTCCAGTACACAAAGAGCCGCTTTTTCCATTTTTGTCATGGCAAAGGAAATAAGTCATACAGTATATACGTTTTCAAACAGCCATTCAGGTTTTTGTATTTACTATGGTGTTTATTAACCAACGCCAAATTCAAGAGTACAGAGACAAGGGAGCCAAGCTATTGACCACCGATCAGCAAAATAATCTGTTTGTGAATGCCACCAACTCTAGCTTTCTGTAACAACAGTGGTTCTGGGCAAGTGACCAAAAGAATGAATCTAATTGGTTGATAAGGAAAAGAGATTAGAGCACCTCTCCTTAAAAAAAATCCTTGTGCTGGTCACACATTACTGGTTGTTAATTCAAATTAAAATGTTTATGGCAATGAATTTTCGCACCGAACATTTGCCTTTGTGTGAATAGGCCATAATGAACACAACAGACACTACAGCTGCATACTGTTAAACAGCTATAGATAGCCCTGACAACCTCATCACAGCATGTTGAGTCGAAATAAATGTTGGAATGACTTTAAGTCATTTCTCTGACACATTCGTAGTCACCCAGTGGTTCTTCACTTCCTATTTTGAGTCTCAGTCTTGCATTACTTTGTGTCAGATAAATCACTCCCATACCATTGTGTTGTTCTCAGGTGGTTTCTCCTGTCAAACAAAATGATGAAATGTTAAATGGAAATGCAATTGTGCCATAACGCCACAGTTTAGCACATGAAAATACGCTAATTTGTTGTTGAAGAGGTATGAAAGGACGTATATGAAGCTTTTGCATCATACCCGCTGCTGTTGTATGTAGACCACTGCATCATGAATTGTAACAAAAATATGCTGAGGATTCATGTAGTTCATCAGCCCGCTTGATGTGAGAATCTTCAGTACACTCTCTACAGAAGAGAGAATATTTTATGCTCAGGAAATTGTTTGAAAGGTTTGTCCAAGTATATATACAGTATGTGTAAACTCACCATTGCAGTTAGCCAGGTATATCCGTACCCCGATCTTTTGGCACTCCATGCACATCTGTGGCAGGATATAAGTTCCGTAAGCATATGACATTTTTCATGACAATGTTGATGGGTGTCAAAACAAAACCTGTATTGTCCGGCTCACCTGTATGAATAACCGAGCTCCTGCAACATCCACGAAAATGACACTGCTGCAGTCTATCAACACAGCCTGGACTTCACCCTCAGCCATCTCTGCAGTAAACAATTGAGAAAACCCCATGGGTGTGAAACATCTGAAATAAAAGACACTTTAATGTGATTGTTGGTATTACTTGAACAAGTGGGAATGCACCTGATCTGAACAAGTCATTCTTTGAAGAAAATGAACTGTCTGTAACTCCTTGCTCCTTGAAAAACAATACAGTTATCCAATCAGATGTTTTCTTTACATAATATGTTACTTTGTTGCTGTTAGAACAACATCTCCAAAATATCAATGCAAAGACATATCAGCATAAAAATACAGGCCTGATTAGTAAAGCCTTTCAGAGGTTTACTAGATTTTAAAACCACTTGAATACTCATAAAATAAAACCACAACAACAGCTATGATAAAACACACTGGTGTTTAATGAAGAATTAAACTTATTATTTATAATTATCCAAATAAACAGCTCTTACACCAAGTAGTATAGTTCAATATTCTAATTATATAATTACATGCAACATGACACATTAAAGGCATAGTTCACCCCCCAAAAAACTGCCATCATTTACTCACCCTCATGTTGTTCCGAATCCATAAGACTTTAATCTTTGAAACAGAAAATGAGATATGTTTAATGAAATCTGAGAAGCTTCTGTCCCTCTATTGAAAACCAAAATTTCCACGATCCAAAAGGTAATAAAGGAGTCATAAAATGAATCCATATGAATCAAGCCGTTTTCTCCAACTCTTGCGAAGATACAGGTGCATCTCATTAAATTAGAATGTCATGGAAAAGTTCATTTATTTCAGTAATTCAACTCAAATTGTGAAACTTGTGTATTTAAAAAAATTCAATGCACACAGACTGAAGTAGTTTAAGTCTTTGGTTCTTTTAATTGTAATGATTTTGGCTCACATTTAACAAAAACCCACCAATTCCATTCTATGATGAACAGATTTAATTCAGGTTTTTATTTACATCTAAACAATGATCAACACACATCTGTAGAGCACATTACATATGGTAGTGGAAACTCAAAAGTGTATCAATGAGGTTGAAGCACACACAATTTGCTATGTTTACCATATGTGATGTGCCCTATGTATGTGTGTTTATATGTACATATAAGTCTAAAGTATTTATTTTTGGATCTCATAAGTTTTGGCTTTCAATAGAGAAACTCTTAAGTTACATAAAAATATCTTCTGTGTTTCGAAGATTAACCGAAGTCTCATGGGTGGAACATCATGAGGGCAAGTAAATTTGGACAGAATTTTCATTTTTGGGTGAACTACACTGAATGTGAACTTGTGCATTGACAACAGCTCTGAATGTGGCTTATGAACATTCAGAACTAGTTTTTAATTCAAGCACATTATTTAAATAATCAGAGATTATCTATATTATTCAATATCATGCAAGACATAAAATGCCAGTGGACATTTTTAGGGTAAGCCAATAATAGAAAAAAAACATTAAAGAGCATATTACATATAAACTGATGGATTGATCATCTTACTACAGAGCTAATGGCCTCTCTCTCTCTCCTTTCCATGGCCTTCAGGGCTTTCTCTCGGCTGCGTATCCTCTCAGGGGTGAGGCCCAGAAGTTGAGCCATATCAGCCTTAAAAAAGCTACGGTTCCCATAGTAGATGGGCCCATTGTAGGCCAGGATCTTTACACCAGGGACTTCATAGCACTGCGGTACAGAGGGATGAAGAGGGTATAATCACATTGTCAGTTACACAACAGAGATGTGACTAAGACAAATGCAGCAGAGCAAAGGTTAATCGATTTGATTTCTAAATGCACAAGGCCCAATTCTAATTATAGCAAATTACATTACATGTGGTAATAAGAAAAGAAACTTAATATGATGACTGTTGACTCACTTTATTATGGTTGTTGATGGATCTGTAGATCTCCGTGTTGGCGGCTCTTCCTAAAACAGAGCAGCTGGCCCTGAAAACAGAAAGTTTATTATGAGTTCAGAGACATCTTTTTGTCTCAACTTTATCTCCCCTTTCCTTAAATGTGAATTTCATATCCGCCAGGAGAGGAAGGTTGTTTTGGAACACAGGGGTCTGTAAGGGATACTGGTTCGCTGTTTTTATACAGCCCTTGAGCTTTGTAACGCATAATTAAAGGATGTAGTAAACATGATTATTAAAGCAGATAAATACACAAATCTAATTAGGTAGTTTCAATCTCAATTATATTATGTACTCAATACCTCGTTTCACTGGGGGTGCTCTAGTTGGATTGATAATATTGCCGTCTCTATACAGCCAGAGTGATACCCATACTCTAATACAGTGGTTCCCAATCTTCCTCCCAGGGGATCCCTATTTTACATGTTATATTTCACAACCCTTCTGAAATCTAAGCATACATTTAATTCGATTTATACAGAAGTACCCTAAATCCACAGACAGTTTTGGGTTTAATAGGAAACCTGTGCACGCATTTCTTTAGCAAATACAATGAGTAGCTTCCTATACAAAAATCATTACTCACTTCCAATATGTTGCATGGTGTTGCTTAGAATTTGTTCTAAATTTGTTCTGACCTTAGCCATAGGGTTTTGATCTATTTTTTATTATATATTTTTTATAATCTATTTTCTTTTCTTTTCTAACAGAATATTTTTCACTCATTCATGTTTTTATTGCACAGATTAGAGTGAAACCATAATTTATGTTTGGCTACCCTTAAGAGAGCTCTAGTGAACCCTAGTGGGGATCATGACCTTGAAGTTAGTAAACCTTGCTCTAATTTATAATAAATATCTCAAGAAGTGACTACATGAAAGCCCAAATAGTCATAATGGAAAGTGTCATAGTATTTTATCCATTAAACAGAATTATCCAATAAATTTGTAACAAAATGAGCATATAATGTCATAATGATACCTCTGTGTGCGACAGATAACTGTCATCATGGAGAAGACCACCCCAATGGCCAGGCCAAGATCTACATTTAGCACAACTACCGAGAGCCAGGTTACAAGCCACACCATCTGCTCAAACATACATAACAAGGATTGAAATTAATCAGCTGGACACAATGCCAGTTAGAAATTAAAGATACTTCTCTGGGAACGAGAGGAGGTAAAAACATACAAAATCAATTTTGCTAATTCTCCAAAGATCTACATTTAGCACAACTACCGAGACCCAGGTTACAAGCCACACCATCTGCTCAAACATACATAACAAGGATTGAAATTAATCAGCTGGACACAATGCCAGTTAGAAATTAAAGATACTTCTCTGGGAACGAGAGGTAAAAACATACAAAATCAATTTTGCTAATTCTCCAAAGATCTGGGAGATCCTGAAACAGCAGGAACATCTGTCTCAGGCTGGTCACATTTATACAAGCAAGAACTGTCTGTGTTGGAGAGAAAAGAGAGAGACCATGATGTTGCTGGTTATACTGGTAATTCCTTAAAGAGAGCATGAAATAAAAAATTACCCTATTTGTTTTGTTACTAAATGTCTATGACCCATAAGTCAATACTTACATTTATGCATTCAACACACACTTTTATCCAAAGCAACTTACACTTAAGAAAATACTCTTGTTTCACTCTGAAATATGTCAAATTATGGAACTTAAATTCATTGCAAATGTACCATTGATGAAGGGACTCTTACCTTTGGTAAGAAGTAAAATAGAGGTCCTATCAGCAAAAGTACAATAAGAACAACCAGACTTGTGAACAGTCCTGCAAGCTGTTAAAGTACAGAAAAAGGGTTTTTATTGTATCTAACTCCTACTATGTTTGACAAATTTGTACAGAAAATTATTAACTTACACTTTTAGCAGTGAACATACTGCAGTGTGTGTTCATATATTATCTTAGCAGAACCTTTACTGCATAACATTGCTTAGTTTCCTAACATGGTTTAAGTGATTTCAAACAAACTAGTACCTGTGTGTGACCTCCGGCACTTTCCAGTATGTTTGTGGTGGCCAGTGTAGCTGAGTTGGGGAAGCAGGTGAAAAGAGATGAGACAGTGTTTGAGATCCCATGTGCTAGAAGCTCCTACGACAAAAATGAAAGAACATTGTTTTTTTGATGACATTAACACTTTGCATTTACAAATTCATAACTCTGGCCTTACTAGCGCCATGCTCCACCAGTCGAACCCAGGAAAACTTTATAGAACTTGGATTATTATTACAGTATCTACCTGATTTGGATCAATGGAGTATCCATGCTTATCAGCATAAATCATGGCTAGAGATACAGAAACAGCGTAGGCAACAAGGGTGATAGCAACTGTGTCGCCGGCAATTTCTGGAACAATCTCCAATGCAGGCAGCCGTGGCTTAGGGAAACTGAAAAGTTGTAAATATTTAGCTTCAAGTTTTAGTTAAACTGCAGGATGTATATTTAAAATGCAGGTTAGATATACTTAAATATATCAATGCATTTAATTGATCAAAAGTGACAGTAAAGACTTTTGCATTGTTACAAACACATTCTTTTGAATTCCATATTCATCAATGAAAAATGCATTTTTTAATGCAGAGTTTTCCACAAAAATATTAAATGGCATGACGTCTTGGTTACGTATGGTAACCCTTGTACCCTGATGGAGGGAATGGAGATGTTGTGTCAAAGTTCCGACACTAGAGGTCACACTTGAGAGCCCGGACACCTCTGACATCATAGAGAAAAGGCCAATGTTGGCGAGCAAAATTTGCATAGCTGGCCACGTCTTGGACATCCTGGTTTAAATAGTCCAGCGTTGCATTTGCTCACTCTGAGCAAATGTTCTGAGAAGTCGACAAGATTCTCAACCCACTCAGAAGCAGTTCAGAGTTGTGGCATAAGGGACACAATGTCTCTGTTTCCTCCATCAGGGAACGAGGGTTACCATATGTAACTGAGACATTCCCTTTCAGTCAGTCACTTCGACGTTGTGTCGAAGTTCCAACACTAGGGGTCTCTATACTTTATACCACAGCTGCTTAACTGCGTTATGAGTCCATGGGGTCACAGGTGTTGACAAGTCCAGCATGACACAACCAAATGCACCTCTCCTCCTCGTAACCTTCCAACGCCCAAGAAGTGGGAACCCTCGCTCTCCAACATCAGGGAAAGCTGCCAAAAAAGGCAGAGGTCACCTCCAGCTGGAGCCTTTTCTCATTTTGAGAAAAATAAGAAATATGACAGTTGAAAAGTCCTGGTTGTAACGTAGGGGAAGAGTTTGTTTCCCAAAGTGGGGAAAGAATACTACGGAGACCACATCCTACCCAAAGGGGAGGTAACATGTGGAGTTCACTCGAGGGATATTAACTCGTAATGGATTCTTGTAGCAAGTTCCTTCGCTAAACTCAGCTATGCTTGAGTCATGGAAGGGTAGTCCAGGGTTCATAAGAAGGAACTGAACCGGACTCAATAAGCGCACATTACCACCTCACTTAATGCAAGCTCTACACCCTACCAGCCATCTGAGTTTAAGAGCTAGTGCTCAAAACTCTAGATGAAACTGGTTCCATTCGCAGATTGTAGAATCTGGCAAATCTATCAGGTGTAGACCAACCCTGCAGCTCTACAAATATCTGCTAATGAGGCACCATTTGCTAAAGCTGATGAAGCAGCAGTTGAGTGTGGTTGAGTGTGCCCTCACTCCCAGTGGGCATGGTAAGCCTCTGGCCTGATAGACCATAAGGACTGCATCCACAATCCAGTGGGAGATCCTTTGTTTGGAGACAGCATTCCCCTTCTGCTGATCTCTGAAGCAGACACAGAGCTGTTCAGACAGTCTGAAACTCTGTGTGCATTCCAAATAGATGCATTCCAAATAGATGCTCACACCAGGCACAACAGAGACATGTCAGGGTCCCCCTCCTGTGGGGGGATAGCTTGCAAGGTTACCACCTGATCTCTAAAAGTGTGGTGGGAACCTTGGGCACATATCCAGGCCGGGGTCTCAGAACAACGAGAGATTCTGCCAGCCTGAATTCTTGTTGTGATTCGTAAACAGAGAGGGCTTGGAGATCCCTCACCCTCTTGATAAAAGTGAGCACAGTCAGGAAGGCTGTCTTCATAGAGAGGGCACTAAGTCCAACTGATTGAAGGGGCTCAAACGGATCTCTCTGTAAGGCCTGAAGGACCACTGAGAGATCCCAAGAGGGAATGAGGCAAGGCCTTGGAGGATTCAACTTCCGGGTGCCTCCTATGAATCAGATCATGCTTCCCCACCGATCTGCAATCTACAGTGTCGTGGCCACGTACACCTTGAATGTAGATGCAGACAAGCGCCTGTCCAGGCTCTCTTGGAGGAAGGATATCACAGATCCGATGCCACATCTCCAAGGATCCTTCCCATAGGAAGAACACCAATTCACAAAAATGCACCATTTCAAGTCGTATAGCCTCCTTGTAGAGGGGGCCCTAGCCTGTATAATGATATTCACCACTGCAGGTGAAAGACCTCTGAGTTCCTCCAGGTCACGTCAAGGGACCAAACAGGAGGTTCCAGAGATCTGGGAGCGGGTGCCAGATTGTGCCCTTCTCTTGGGAGAGAAGGTCTCTCCTCAGGGGAATCTGCCAGGGTGGAGCTGGCCTGCTGTGAGAGGGAGACCGCTATGTGATTGAGGTCGCCCGGAATGCAAAGACTCTGCTGGCTCCACAGTAAGAGATGGCGGGCGAGGTGTGAGCCTCGGCGCCAAGCCCATCTCAGGACTCGGGTATGAAACTCCATGCTGAAGTGGTCTCATATGCATCAGGTCCAATGGCGTAAGCACAGCTGAGGATGCCATATGCCCCAGGAGCCTCTGACCTTCAGTCAGTCGCTGAGTCGCCTTGTGCAGACCCTGGCCTGAAAACCTGCAGGACAGCCATGGTATGCAGCGCGGACGCAGCTTGTCCAGAAACGCAGTTCCTGCATGCTCCAGGCTGGGACCACCCTTGTGCAGACCCTGGCCTGAAAACCTGCAGGACAGCCATGGTATGCAGCGCGGACGCAGCTTGTCCAGAAACAGCATAAGCTTTCACCACAAGGGACGAGGTAGCTTATATGGGGGCAGTCCGGGCCTAATGGATAGAGAGTCAGACTTGTAACCCGAAGGTCGTGAATTCGAGTCTCAGGTTCCGGCAGGAATTGTTGTGGGGGAGTGAATATCTAGCACTCTCTCCACCTTCAATACCACGACTGAGGTGAGACCCTTGAGCAAGGCCCCCAACTGCTCCCCGGGTGCCACAACATTGGCTGCCCACTGCTCCGGGTGTGTGTTCACGGTGTGTGTGCGTGCGCGTGTTTGTTCACTACTCACTGCTGTGTGTGTGCACTTGGATGGGTTAAATGCAGAGCACAAATTCCAAGTATGGGACACCATACTTGGCCACGTCCTTTCTTTTCCTATATTCTCCCACTTCCAGGAAGAAAGAAACTAGGGCGGAGTGTGGCTGAGTGTAACGCTTGGTCTCCAAGAACCAATCATTCAAGCGAGAGCGCTCAGAACAGGGTGGAAGAATCCACTCAAGCCTGATGCTCTCTGCTGCCTGGGTAAGCACAGCTGCCATCTCAGTAGGGTTGGGTACCGAAACCTATGTAACCGGTATGTACTAGAACTGAATCAGAATGCAGATTTCGGTGCCTCATTTCAGTGCCACTTAAATGCTTGAGTGATCGATTTAAATATTTGTTCTCTGGTTCTTCGAAACGGACATAAGGATCACCGGCACTGCACGTAAAAAATAATTTCCCGACTGAGAAAATTCTAAGAATGCAAGTCGGAAAGCTCTAATAATACAAATCTAACACATCTTTGTAGTAACGCGAGTGTCCATGTTGTTTTCACATTCCGACTTAAAAGCACAACTCGTGAAATGAGAGCATCCAAGGAGTGCATGAACGCAGCAATTACACTTGCTCTGATGACAGCAGGTAGATACCGTTAGCTAGCTAAGCTAAACATTCTTAAATTAAAATGCCAAAAGCTAAACTTCCCTTGTAATGACTTGCAATGAGAAGCGTTTCTAAACCTGTTGTCCAACAAAAGAGAACACTATAACGTTTTTACTTCACAACTGCTTCCTTTTGTGATCTGATGTGGCTTCTTGTCACAGAATGAGGCAGAAAATATGTTCTATACTGTAAAAAGCATATGGTAAAAAGGCTATGTCGATTAGCAATGGATTATATACTTAATTATGATGAAAATATCAAAGATGGCTTGAATAACACAGATAAACTATACTGATGCACATGTGGAGTTTCTGCGCGAGGGCACCCTCTGGCGTCCAGTATGAATGAAACAGACATTAAATGTGTTTATAGTGCTCAATAATGGCCAATCCATCCTTTTTTTTTTTTTTTTAAGTATCAGTTCAGGCACCGTTTTGGCACTGGAACCGTTTTAAAAGTATCGATTTGGCACCGGGATCGTAAAAAACCCAAACGATACCCAATCCTACATCTTAGCGTCAGGCTCAGACCAACCCACAGCACCCGAAAGCGCCAGTTTATTTTAGTCATACCCAGAAGTAGAAGGGCCAGGACGGGAAGCAGCTGAGGGACTTGTGGTCTTTTTTAAATAAGAACGCGAGCCAAGAGTGCAATGTGCCGATAGCTATGTCCTCACAAGAAGGACATAAACCATCCACAAAAGCTGCTTCAGCATGGGCACCAATTTCATTGGCCTTTTCTCAGTGATGTCAGAGGTGTCTGGCTCCCAAGTGCAACCCCTAGTGTCGGAATTTCAACACAACGTCAAAGTATTCGACTGAAAGGGAACTGTTTTTAACACTGATAATAAGATATATTTCTTGATCACCAAATCAGCACATTAGAATGATTTCTGCAGACTGGAGAAATGACTACATAAAAATCAGCTTTGCCATCACAGGAAAAAAATTACATTTTAATATATTAAAATAGAAAACATTTTAAACTGTAATAATATTTAACAATATTACTATTTTACTGTATTTTTGATCAAATAAATGCAGCCCTTGGTAAGCACAGAAGACTTCTTTCAAAAACATTTTTTAAAAATGTATATATTATTTAAAAGAATACATCATTAAAAAAATAATATATTACCCTGCTGGAATGTGTCCTACTATCTGTATGTCATATTTGGAATCCAAAGAAAAGGCATATGTAATTCCTGTCGCGATTATTACCTGCAGGAGCCACAAGAGAATGAAAGATTATTTTTCACAGTGTAGACAACAGTAGAAACTAAGATGATGAAATTCAAACTTCCCTTGTAATGACTTGCAATGAGAAGCGTTTCTAAACCTGTTGTCCAACAAAAGAGAACACTATAACGTTTTTACTTCACAACTGCTTCCTTTTGTGATCTGATGTGGCTTCTTGTCACAGAATGAGGCAGAAAATATGTTCTATACTGTAAAAAGCATATGGTAAAAAGGCTATGTCGATTAGCAATGGATTATATACTTAATTATGATGAAAATATCAAAGATGGCTTGAATAACACAGATAAACTATACTGATGCACATGTGGAGTTTCTGCGCGAGGGCACCCTCTGGCGTCCAGTATGAATGAAACAGACATTAAATGTGTTTATATTGCTCAATAATGGCCAATCCATCCTTTTTTTTTTTTTTTAAGTATCAGTTCAGGCACCGTTTCGGCACTGGAACCGTTTTAAAAGTATCGATTTGGCACCGGGATCGTAAAAAACCCAAACGATACCCAATCCTACATCTCAGCGTCAGGCTCAGACCAACGCACAGCACCCGAAAGTGCCAGTTTATTTTAGTCATACCCAGAAGTAGAAGGGCCAGGACGGGAAGCAGCTGAGGTGACTTGTGGTCTTTTTAAATAAGAACGCGAGCCAAGAGTGCAATGTGCCGATAGCTATGTCCTCACAAGAAGGACATAAACCATCCACAAAAGCTGCTTCAGCATGGGCACCAATTTCATTGGCCTTTTCTCAGTGATGTCAGAGGTGTCTGGCTCCCAAGTGCAACCCCTAGTGTCGGAATTTCAACACAACGTCAAAGTATTCGACTGAAAGGGAACTGTTTTTAACACTGATAATAAGATATATTTCTTGATCACCAAATCAGCACATTAGAATGATTTCTGCAGACTGGAGAAATGACTACATAAAAATCAGCTTTGCCATCACAGGAAAAAAATTACATTTTAATATATTAAAATAGAAAACATTTTAAACTGTAATAATATTTAACAATATTACTATTTTACTGTATTTTTGATCAAATAAATGCAGCCCTTGGTAAGCACAGAAGACTTCTTTCAAAAACATTTTTTAAAAATGTATATATTATTTAAAAGAATACATCATTAAAAAAATAATATATTACCCTGCTGGAATGTGTCCTACTATCTGTATGTCATATTTGGAATCCAAAGAAAAGGCATATGTAATTCCTGTTGCGATTATTACCTGCAGGAGCCACAAGAGAATGAAAGATTATTTTTCACAGTGTAGACAACAGTAGAAACTAAGATGATGAAATTCTCATTATATTGGACTAGTTGTCTGGTGAATGGCAAATATTTGTACAAAAGTTAATTTGCTTATTTATGTCTGTAATTCACACAGTATCACAGAAATTGGAAGGAAAATAAGCACAAAGGTGAATAAATGTTTTACTGCTCCACTGTTCTAAATATCTGTTGTGGAGTGCAAACTCACAGTGATGATCTCCACGGGGATGGGAGTGCGCAGACGCTCCCGAAAGCGTGAGTTGACCTCTTTAACTGGCACCAAAACAGCCAGGCAGAGCAGTGAGATCACCAGCTCAGCCAAATTAGTGTGGGGCACATTCTCCATCACTGAAGCCAGAGTCTGTTGGTTTAAAAGGAGCTACTGACATGCCTACTCATTTTTGCTCAGTTATAGTCAGTGATACTGCAGTAGTTGTAGCTAGAATTATTAAACTAATAACCAGAACAGAAAAAACAGTCTGTGTTACACCATTTCTGACCTTAAAAAGAGAGAAGGCACCAGCACATCGGGGTAGCCGTAATCCCAACATGCTTTGCAGCTGTGAAATGGTCACATGGAAGGCAGCTGCACTTGTGAAAGCCTTAACAATCGGTTCTGAGAGGTATGTGGAAAGGAAACCCAACTGGAGCCCGCACATGCAGAGCTGGGACAATAAAAACAAGCAAAATGCTATAATAATTCTGCAGTCTGAGTCTAATATTTCATCAGACAACATATTGCTTAACAAAAACAGACGGATGCTATGTGTTTAAATCCAGTAGATATGTCTTACCATCATTATGCCTGAGAGAAATGCTACAGCTGATGCCACACCAATCCTCTGGGCCTCAAACTCTGTGCCTTCTGGGCTACTGGAGTTCAGAGCGAGCGGGATGGGAACTAGTTGCTCCACCACTGAACCAGTCATCAGACTCAACACAGCAAAGGTACCTACAAAAGTCAAACTCTTGAAATGTCATTTTCTTGGTTAAACATGGTTGCAGATTAATTACACTGTAATACTGAAGCACTCTTGGGAATATTGGTTTCCAAAATGTAATAGGTGAACAAATTTATGGAAACTTTGTGGAACCAGGTTTTTAAACACCAGTTTTTTTTCCCACAGCGCTAAACTATGGTAAATTAAAGTCTTTTACCTGTAGAAACGTGGTGACCAGTGCCAAAGAGCATATAGAGAACTACAGGGAAGAAGGATGTGTAAAGGCCATAGACAGGTGCCACTGATGTCAACAAAGCAAAGGCCATTCCTAGCAAAACAGTATGTTTTATCACTTATGTTGTCTTGAATATAGGTCAAAGACATGAAGCATATTTCATCTACTAAACTAAAATGCATTAAAATTTAAATTCAAATTCTTGAATATGCAGTTTATAATATGAATATGTTATCAACATCGCAATTATTCTCAGAATTATTATTATTAGTATTTATTACTTGTAATCGGTCAACAATCTATATTTTGCAGATTAATTACACTGTAATACTGAGGCACTCTTACTATGGTAAGCTAAACTATGGTAAATTAAAGTCTTTTACCTGTAGAAACGTGGTGACCAGTGCCAAAGAGCATATAGAGAACTACAGGGAAGAAGGATGTGTAAAGGCCATAGACAGGTGCCACTGATGTCAACCAAGCAAAGGCCATTCCTAGCAAAACAGTATGTTTTATCACTTATGTTGTCTTGAATATAGGTCAAAGACATGAAGCATATTTCATCTACTAAACTAAAATGCATTAAAATTTAAATTCAAATTCTTGAATATGCAGTTTATAATATGAATATGTTATCAACATCGCAATTATTCTCAGAATTATTATTATTAGTATTTATTACTTGTAATCGGTCAACAATCTATATCAAACTGGCCGCGTAAAGAACATGTAGGACGCCATATTGCTGTCATGTGACAAGAAAAGTTAAATAAATAAATTTGGCCGATTTATGAAAAGTTTTGTTCAGGACGAATGGAGTAAGAAAACGTCACGATATTTGTTCTAAACATTTCTTAATATATTATATTTCGCATTATATTATATTCCAAATATATATATTTTTGACAGTAGAAAACACCTTTTTAAAGTAATTATTAAGTTGTGTATACTCCCGTGTACTATTCAAGTTGCAAATAAATTATTTTAACTCTTCTTATTTGATAGTTAATACTTTATTTATTCATTTTTTTTAAATGTTATTTTTTCTAATTGAAATGTTATTAAAAACGTTAATAACATATTAAAAAGTATAAAACAAAATCGATATATAATTTATTTGATAATTATATAACGTATTTTTGCAATCATTTTTATACTTTTTAAGTTTATATTAAAGTAGCCTAACAGCCTAAAATGTGTTTAAAGATTTAAAAAGTTTCTCTCATCAAAGAGAAATTCATACAAAAATATGTTGTTCACGTGAATGATCTTAACCTGATTTTATTTGATAACGTTTTCATATTGTCGAACTATCTCTTTCTCTTTACTATTTAATTGGCTACTACAACTTTTTTTTAAAAACGAAGTAATTAAAGTTTATTTTATTTTTACCTTGGGGAATGTGCACTATTCCAACAGTCAGTCCCGCTATGATATCTCCTAAAAGCCATTTCCTGATCTTGTATTTTGGCAGCCAGCTGCACACGGGCAGTCTCTTCTTGAGCAGGTGAAGATAGTCCACCTGAGAGCAGCTGCATCTCTGCGCCAGTCTGTCGCGGAGCCGCTCTCTCCCTCCAGACTGATCTTCCGTACCATACGTCTGTCTGAAGCGATCCTCAGTGTATATATTTCTATGTACTGCCACTGATGCGCTCATATCGTCCTAAAGTGTTCTTCGGAGAGCAAGGTAAATAATCTTCAGAGTTAAACTGCTCCAAACAAATGCCCAACCCCTCATTTATAGGAGTCGCTAGAATTTGACATCAGGAACAATTGTATTTTCATGTCAAGTACTGGAGCCAATTAAACACCAGTGTCTTTTTTTTTTTAGGTAAAGTCAAAATCAAACTGCAAAAAACATCCTACTTTTATGAAACAGGCTTCATAGGTATACTTGAAAAACCTCAATGTTATGTCTTCCAGGTCCTACCGCTAAAGGCTTTTTTACAAAACAGAGAATGACATGAACACTCATCTTTAACACATAGACCTGCTCTCAGTCCCTCCTCCTAACTCTTCAAACAGACTCTTTCTTCATGGCCTTGACATGAGGAGTCATGTTGTATAGAAAGTGTACAATGTATTGCTCTGTGAGACATCTGCATGAGGATCAAAGCACTATTGTTTACAGGGTGAAGGTGAAACCTCAAACCACAACTATTACTGATTATGAGAGGTGGTCATTTCCGAGAAGGGGGTCGATTTCTCCCTGCCTTTTTAGTGTCTTCATGTGCTTTGAGGAACCAAAGCTGCTTTGTGAAGAGTAATCATATATGTTTTCTTTGCCTCACTGATCAAACCGCAATATGACTCTGGTGAGCGTGCACTCTTTTTAGTCCGTTAAAGGAATAGTTCACCCAAAAATGAAAATCTATGCACTCTCAGGCCATCAAAGATGTTGTTTCTTCACCAGAACAGATTTGAAGAAATTTAGCATTACATCATTTGCTCACCAATTTATCCTCTGCAGTGAATGGGTGCCGTCAGAATGAGAGTTCAAACAGCTGATAAAAACATCACAATAATCCACAAGTAATCCACATGACTCCAGTGAATCAAGTAAATTAATTGTGAACTGAAAAGCTGCGTGTTTGTAATAAACAAATGCAGCATTAAGACATTTTTAACTTTAAACTGATGCTTCAGGCCAGAGTCCACTAACCATAATATTGCTTTCTCCAGTGAAAAAGTAATCTCGTCTGATTTAGGAGAGAAATATGCACAGATCAAGCACAATTTATGAGTGAAAACTGTCCAGAATGGTTCTAAACAAAAAAATGTTGATGTGAGAAGACAAAAGGGGACTTTTTCACTGGAGGAAGCAATATTATGGATCATGGACTCGTATTTTGGACAGAAGCGATGGTCTAGTTAAAACATCTTAATGATAGATTTGTTTCTTATTTCACTTCACAAGAATTTAATTTTGAGTTGTGTGGATTACTTGTGGATTATTGTGATGCTTTTATCAGCTGCTTGGACTCTCATTCTGATGGCACCCATTCACTGCAGAGGATTCATTGGTGAGCAAGTGATGCAATGCTAAATTTCTCCAAATCTGAAAAAAACATTTTTGGGTGACGTGTTCCCTTAACTTTTAAGACTACTTTTAAGGGGAAGCCCAGAGTGTCAATTTGCAATTAACCATTTGAATGTACATAATTTCCATTGTCAAGTATTTTCTGTTGTATAAAGAGTAATTTACATTGATTAAATTCAATGAAAAATGGGTGAGCTTCTATGTTTTAGTGTGAACGTGATAGAGATCACTCCAGTGTTGGCTCAGCCAACAAAACCATTGCCGTTTGTACCTCTAGACAATGTCACGGGTGCCTGAGATTGCAATCTCACAAAATATCCAACCCATAAAACAAAGACTGATACATTATAAATGGAACAGTTGTTTTGGTAATAGCCCAGTATTAGGACGCATGAACGAACCTCTTCCTGACCGTGTTGTTTGTTGGTTCGCACCTGCGCTGGCTCAGACTGGACAGGCTGCTGTCACACTGCAAACTCTTGGTTAAGGTGGTACTGTTAGTATTTATTTGTCTCAATCAGGGTTATTATGTTAACTAAAACCATAAAAACACATTTTTTAAAACTTGAAATAAAATAAATGTTAATAAAATAAAATATAAAAAACTTAAACTTTAATCAACTTAAACAAAAGTATTTTATTGCTTGTTATAATTGATTAATTATTATAATTATTTCAACTAGTTGCCAAGGCAACAGTTCTCATTTTTCTTTAATGTAACTTGGTCAAAATAACTAAATAACTAAATAAACTAAAACTAATAAATCAAAATTAATAAAAACTATATAGACATTTTAAAAAAATTATGAAAAATTAAAAGAAGTGACAAAAACAAAAAAATGACAAAAGTTTTAACTTAAATCAGTGAAAACAGAATATATATATATAAAAAAAACTACAATAGTATATCAATATTACTTAACTTATTAGCATTGATTAAAAATCCATTAAAAATCAATTTTCATTACTTGAAATAAAATAAACATCAACTAAAATAAAATATAAATACAGACATTTTCATTTAGTTTAAACTGAAGTACTAAAATAACTAAAAGTAAATAACTTCAATATACAGGTATATTTAAAAAAAATGACAAAAACAAACAAACAAAAAATACTACAACTTTTAAATTTCAAATAAAAACAGAAAATATCTAAATAAAATCTAATTTAAAATATGAACAAAAATGATTAAAACAATGATACTAAAATTACACTGCTTCTGACTGACAGAGACTTTGAGAATGCAATATGAACAAGAGAAGTAATTTAGAATTAAGAGAAATTATCAAATATAATCGTTTAATATAAAAATCATGCAATTTTATGTATTTTGAAAACAGGAAAGTCAGTCCAGCACTTCAAATAAATACTTTCTCTGATTGAGGGAAACATGGCTAAAGTGCATGAACTTTATAACTAATTATCTCATTCATTCTTTAAAAGATTGTTCCCAATTATTACACAAACATTTTATATCAGCATTAGACATTAATTTCGTAAGCTCTTTTGTCACTGTGGCTATTGCTAAAGACAAAGCAAAAGCCAATAAGAGGGGATGTCTTCACAATGTCTTCACCATTGGGTGCATTCCAAAATGTTAAGTGTATCCATTTTGGGTGTATTTTTAAATCTAAGTGAAAAATACAGTTGTTTTGATCTCATATTCCAAGAATCTCCAGGTCTCTGTAGATATGCTCTAATATGTGGAGGCTTTTTGTCAAGGAATGCAGCTATTGTGTTCATCAGCTCAGGAGAATTTATGGACACGCTGATGGCGTGTTGCGTCTGGTGGCTGTTTAAACAAGATATTAATCAGCGGTGAAAGTAACAATGCGCTGAATGGAAGAGGATATGGAGTGTTGAACCCCCCCTCAAAAGCAAGACAAAGCTCAAGCACTCCAACTAAAGACAGATTATGATAAACCAGACAATATATACAGTATAAACAAGAGTGATTCACTTTGACTGGAGTGTGTTTACAGTCTAATCTGGATGTCAGTCTGCTCTGAGTTGACAGAAGATGCTGAGTCTCAGGCATATTTCCCCACTGACTGCCCAATAGTCTGTATAAAAAGCAGATTGAAGAAAGCATTTGGAATTTTTTTAGCTCTTCTTGAACATATTACACATTTGTGAAATTATTTTAATGCATTTCTTTGACCAAATCCAAAGGAAAAGTGCAAAATTAGCGTGGTTACAGAAGTTGGATATGTTGTCTCATTGCATAGTTTGTATTGCATAAAATAAAGCATGTTAGGGAGACAAACTTGGTTTTCTTTGGCTTGAAATCTTTCTGTGGTATAATTTCCCTATTGTATATGCAATAATTGCATTAGAACAATATTCTTGTTAACCTTCATGCCCCCCCTCACGCTGAGAGTGTGTTGTGGTGCTCAGCTATTGTCGTCTGCTTCATCATGCTGATCTTGTTTTGGGAGGGCTGTCATAATAATTTGTCAAAATTCGATATAATCTTTCTGTGGTATAATTTCCCTATTGTATATGCAATAATTGCATTAGAACAATATTCTTGTTAACCTTCATGCCCCCCTCACGCTGAGAGTGTGTTGTGGTGCTCAGCTATTGTCGTCTGCTTCATCATGCTGATCTTGTTTTGGGAGGGCTGTCATAATAATTTGTCAAAATTCGATAGTTCCTCTCATTGTTCCTTATCTTTTTTATGGGCTACTTCAGCTGACCCCCACTGGTATGTCCTTTGCTCTGACCTCGTTAATGAGACGGATGCTGAACCTATCTTTCTGTCTCCATCCGACCACCTCTCCCTTCCCGTTCAATCACGAGTACGTCTCCACATTCATTTGATAGGTTATAATGAATAATGATTAGTTTTCCTTTGCTCCTTCAGCTATTGTGGTCTCTCCGTACTGCTGTACTGCATGACCATCTTAGCAGTACTGGGCACATCCACACATTTTATTGCTTCATGTATCTGGCTGTATTGTGCAACCTGCACTTTTTACCTTTTATCATGGTGTATTTTATTTTAATTTCTTTGCTGTTGTTTAAATGGTTGTTAACAATCATATAATGCATGCAATGTTTGTGTGCCAATGAATGACAATGCATAAACTGAATTTATAGAAAATCTACTATATAAATATGTTTTTCAATACATTGCATACATTAACATAATTACATTTGTTTATGAAATATATACTTATGTATAATAAAATTGGATTTTTTTCTATATTCATTTTAGTTGGAATTTACATAATTATTATCCATAATCCAAAATTCTGTATTTTGAAATGTAATTATAATAATTATATGTATATCCAGAAGCAACATTTGCAAAAATGATAATATATGCAACGTTTTGTGTTTTTTATTCATAAAAAGTAATATATAAATAAAAATGGTAAGACATTATCATTTTATTTTACTATAAATATTTAATTAATATGTACATCCCCCAAAAAAGTATCATACAAATTTTATAATATTATTCCTAAATAAAATAAACCAGTTCTGCACATAATCAGCCAGAAAATAACTAATTATGAAAAAAGAAGGTTTGGGGTCACTGAGTGCTGATGCAGCATGTAATGATTTGAGTAAAATGGAACTTATAATAAAAAAAAAAAAAAAAATCTTATTCCACAAAAAAGTTAATAAATAAAAAAACAATAAATGTTATATAATTTAAAAAACTAATTTAACATATTATATAATTTTATAATTATGTGTACTGCAAAAAATAAAAAAAATAAAAAAAATTAGTATCAT